CTAGTGCGGGGCTATGTTGAGTGTGTGCGTTATTATTATTATTATTAGTTATTAAGAATTCATATTGACATTTCCTGCATACACTTGACATTGTTAGTTTCATTTTAATTATTTATTAGTTTAATTAATTATGTTAATTTTGTATATGCACATTATTGTGTACTTATGGCTCACTATTATATAATCATTTCTTCATTCTTTTGTAAAATGACGCTCACTTTTCGAAGAGTAGTATAAAATGACATGTAGTTGTATTTGTATGAAATTTGTAATCTTGAGAGAAATAAACTAAACATTGGTTAAGTTAAGATCCACCAGGAAGTCTACAATATGTCGTATTATCAAGGACTTTACGCACGCGTTTAATAATGAATTATTTGAAATTTGGAATATACGAAATTCAAGTGGTGGGATATGCGCGCTGTCTTTTGAATGTACGTACGTGGAAAATCTTAGGCAAGCTGGTGGGAATCGAGTTATGAGGACGCCTCGCCACTGCTAGACAAGGACCTCTACTGCTGTTTTTGTTTTCGCTATAACTACACAGTGGAAATAAAACTTTTTTCCTTTAACATCTCGCTTCCTCTTTCCTGATGAGGGGCAGCCGGACTCAACGGCAGGGAATTTTAAGGTAACGAATACTAATGTACCTTAATGTAATGTCGTAGCATAGTCGTAGCAATAAAAGGAAAGCTGCGGTAAGCTTAGGGAACCGAGACGGCAGCCTACGGAGTGCCTCGGCAGCCTTCGAAATACTTCGGCAGGTTTCTGTAGGGGATTCACTAAAGTTTTCACCGTCTTTGAATATAGTTCTTTTCTACTATTTTCAAATATACAACTGGTAATAAACCAGCTTGCATTACGACTGTCCTGAAGAGAAGTTAGGCGAGAGCACGATGTCGCAATTGCATGCCTAAGGATACCGCGGCGTAGGGGAAGTCAGTGCAAAGCGGCCATAAAAGGCAAAGCGCCTATGCTCGATTACTCGATCATTTCAAATGTTATAGATTCCTTTATACAAGGCATTGTAGCCTACCTCCCCACTCTCACCGAGGCAGTCGCTTGGCACCTGTAGGAACCCACGCACACACTCTTGTGCCAAAATAATTAATTCCGTTAAAAAAAAATGCGACCTAAGTTCATTACGTTTTGGTCAAACCGTAGTTTCTTAGTATATTATTGCTATGATGTGGATTATACTGATTTACATTTATCTGGCAGTGATTTTGTAACATTTGTTTGAAGGTATAGTTACATTTGTAGGTGTGAACTTCGTTTTAAAATAAAATGCTCACAAAGGCAAAGCGGCTCGGGTACAGCGGTTATCTAGCCACTATATGAATATGAAATGAATCTTGTAGTGGTGAAAAACTATAAACACACGCTTTCTGGCGGCACATAACATACAGCGTAACATGACCTAGCTTACGTATTCGTGTGTCGCTTAAGAATATAATTTGATACAACGTCGAATTCAGGAACTGCCGCCGTACCAAACGGTTACCATGTTGATCTGCCACACAGATGTCTCGAGTTCGATCCCTGGGCCGGAAGAAATATTTCTAAGGCCTACAATTATTTCTCTCGTG